GACTGAGATTTTAGTCATCTGTGCAATATGGAACGGTACTCTCTAGCAGGCTGCCTACCCAGTAGCTGAAACACACCACCCATAACAAATACTGAGCCAACCGGTCATCAGCAGGGTTAAAATAAGTTTGTCAAAACTGTAACGCCTATCTTGTCAGTCACCAGTGGGGTGATGTTTTTTCAATGTAATGGCTTTGAACAGCAGAGATTCAGAAATCTCCTTTGTAGCTTATTTCATTTACAAAGACTGACCAAAGTTTCTTACAGTAGAGAAAGACTTTTCCCTGGTGGATGTATTTTCAGAAATAACAAGATGTGGAAGAGGGGAACAGTTTTGTTCTAGTAGTAGAAACAATAATTTGCTTTTAATTAATTTTCCTGTAATATAAACTCAACTAATATTTTAGGGATGAGGATCTGCTCCTGCACTARTCTCCACTGCCTACATTTAATGGACGTGACCCTACTTCTTCAGTGATGTTCAGGAATTACTTTTGCAATCTTAGGCATTTGTATAGCACCAACCACCAACAGTGTGATCACTAAGGCACTGGATTGGTACTCTGATGGCATGGGTTCTACCTCAGCATCTGTGTTTAACTTTTTATGCAAGAGTATTTACATCTTTCATTTTTCTTGGTACACCATTTTCTACATTTGAAAATAGGATATAAAACATCCAACATCACTTAGAAGAATATTGCGCCATTATTAATTACAAGGTGCTCAGATCCTAAAGTGATGAACACTAGTATTTCCATGCATAGATTTACTGCTAAAAGAAAGTTATGCTGCAGGTATCCATTATGTGCAATATACTCGAGCAGAATTAGCTCCAGTTCCCCTAATTAATTCCCCATCACATGCTCTGAGTTAAATCCTATCCTCAGTACCAGTGGTTCAGAAGAGGTTTCAGATAAACCAAGATGAGCCAGTAGGCTCCTGTTTATGACAGATGATCCAGCATGCTTTCACAAGCTTTACATCCCTGTCTATTCCTAACAACTTACACCGTCCCTATATAATGTCAGCATCTTCAAAGAGAGCAGTTTTTAGACTTTCAGAAGCAGAGAAGTAGCTCAACCTTTAAAAACTCATAGTTATTTTACCTCCTCATACTATTGAAAAAAAAAAAAAGAATGAAACTTGAGGAGAAATATCACTACTCTGACTCAGCAGCCAGTGTAATGCATATGTGCACTGATGTACAAATTGCTAAAACTCCTTGGGTTGAAATAAGTTACTGCAAATGCACAGTAGCTGATTTTGAAACCACAACATCTCTACAATTTATTATTATTTTTACAAAATACCCAAAGTGATCAGACCATATTGTAGGTTACTGGCTTGCCAAAGGTTATGTTTTTAAATCAAAACCATTTCTGAGTTACAGAAGTGCCAAAAACAATCTTGAACCAGTATTTTTTTTTTAACCACCCCCCATCCAACAGAACAGTTGTATAACTTAAACCAGAAACAAGAGTTTGTGTTGGAAAGTGTTTAAAAACCTACCCACCAAATCATGCTTGAGCAGAAGCGTTGTATGGCAAAGATTTAGTTTAGGATAATTTAGTGCCAAGATATAGGCCCTCTATGGGTTTATAATGGAAATACTGACACAACCTTAACTACAGTGATGCAAATGTGCCCTAAAACACTGTATTTGTTTTTATTAATAAAAGTGGTAGTGTTTACATTTGTAAGTATCTTACACTTCAGCATCATGATGAATACTGAATAGAATGAGTAAAGTTTTGGCTGTAAAGTCAGAAGTTTCCGAACAGATGAATGAGACAGAAGTGAAAGTCCTCAATCATGAAAACAAGAAGTTCAAATAAATAAATAAAACAAAATTAGGAAAATATGGATAAGCATTAGGTTGGAATGGTTCAACTAACTGCAAATTATGGCCACTAAATTAGAGACAGAAAAAAACACAGTTACTTATTAAATAGCAAGCATTAAAGCTTTATGGTCTTCTTCTT